GTCAAAAGGTACGCCGGCAGCTGTGCCTGTTACCCGCACCGGTCCACCGACCAGCTCGGACGGTGGCTGACGTCTGAGAATGGGAATAGAGAATGAGGTCGACGGCTCATCCCATTTTCCTTACTATGGACAATTTAACGCGTTTGAAGTTACCCCGATGTGCTAAAGGTCGTGGCCTAAAAGATTGCCGACTGGTGATGTAACTCTGACCGCGATGTTAGCCTTATGTGTGACGAGCGTAGTGATTTTGAGTCATGTTCAGTATAGTTATATCACAAAATTCGACTGAATCAAGGGAAGTCTAAATAATGTTGATCATTGTATTTGTTTGTACACCGATTTATCTCTCATGGCCTCGGCTGCACGTAGCTGATGAGGACCAGCAGCCCGAAGTAGCTATAATACGTTGCCTGTCTATGCCGGAATACTAAAAACATAATGTTGATCATTGTTGTGTTTAGTGGTCCTCTCCTCTCACGGAGCCCTTTTACATTTATCCGAATATAAAGTTATTTTTAGTGCTCCTGCGTAACTTCTTTTGACTCCCCCGAACATCTCGTTTCTCTTTCTACCTCTCAAACCAAATCTTTCTTTTCAACTCACAGTCAAAGGACAAGTACGGCAACACGGTGACAAACATCGGACGTCCTCTCCCAGTGGAGTATTTACTCATCGATATGCCAGTGGCTTTCCCCATCGACCCCACTTTCACCTTCGCGCTGCAGTCCCTACCCTCAAACAAACTCTTCCCCATAGAAAATCGTCAGGAAATGGGCCAGACTCAGGTAATCATCAGGCCAAACCAATGGCCTTTATTCTTCTACCTTAGTGGCCGGTCTTCTGTTGCGTATCAACGGCATTTAAACATAAAAAGTAAAGAGCACTGTGCAAGGAGGGTGCCAATTATGTTACTGCGATGATAGTAGAGTACTCCTCGTGAAGGGTCTTTTCTCGTCGTCCTTGTAAAGACAACCTTTTTGAAAATTTTGCTAATTATTTGCTTGATCTTCTAATCACTACTTTCAATATAAGCCAAAAATTCTTTTAAGCGAAGTATAACAGACAATAACTAGGGACCGGATCCGAAAACTTGTAGGGTAGCGACGAAGAGTGAGAGAATTTGGAGTTAATTGACTTTTAAGATGTCATCATTGTCATTTCATAAAAGCTGCCTTTCAATTGAGGCCTTTGGGATTATTGCTTTCCATCTGTACAGATCCTAACGACTGTCAAACAGGCAAAGCGGTTAGCATAATCGCAAACCGAGTCTTGAATAGATTTGCCGCGTTCCTGTCGGATCTCACTATATGTTGCGTTGTCAACCCGATAAATTTGGAAAATAGGAATATCCAGTTGCATTTCTGAACGGCCGTGCTTTACTAAAAGTACGAATGCATACCATCTTGTGGTTCCGTTCGGCGGGGATTCATGCTTACTTATTTACCTTTGTGCTTAAATCCAGCCATGGAAGTAATCCCACCTTTTCCGGCACTATTGATTACCACACCTGTCTGCATTATTCATTTCATTCGGACCAGCGCGTTGCCAATGGCAGTTGGAGCGGGGGGAGTAACTGTATTAACGCTTATTTGCCTTGCCCATTTGTGTTTCACAGAACTTTGAGGCATTCGCCAACTATCTCTCGGCAGTTGGTCCCACAAATCTGCGTACCTGTCTTTCAAACTTCCACGTCCTAGCCTGGCTGGCAGGACAGGTGGACCTGCCGTTGAATGCTAACGCTGGCTCCTTTGATGAACTCCTAAAGGCAGTGAAGGCTGACGCCTGTTTCGGCGGCAAGTCCGAGGCGCAGAGCTTAGTCGCGCGATGGGCTGCCTCCTCGTCCCAGTGGGCCACCATGCGGACCATGGCGGACTCTTTGCTTGGAAGTAAGTTTCTATTTATATTCTCGGTCGGACTGTCTTGTGGGGCCGCTAAAAAAAAAATTCCGCCTGCCTAAGGCTGACTGAAAATAAATTCCGCCCGCCTAAGGTCGAATTTCCGCCAATAAGAATTGTCTACTATTCTTATTGGTCAACAAAGATCAGTAACCTAAGCAGCCGGAGTTTATGTTGGTCGATTTGATTATATTTAGCTCACAAAAACGATTATAATTGGCTTTAATTTGCATTTCATTGTTTATTTTCCATCCAATTTAATACGAATTTACACTCCTTAATCCAGTATGTAAACTTTAACTACGAACTCCGTAAGTCACTTGGGTGGGGGAGTTTATTTTTAAGGGGCCTCAGCAGACATGTTTGCCATATTTCCTTACTTGTTTTCCTGGCAGCATCCATCTTATCTATCAGTCCTCTATCGTGTCTCTTTTCCTCGCTCGTAGACCCCGACTTTTGTTCATTATTTTGTAAGAAATAGCGAGCCACTAAACACAGCGGATCAAGATTAGTCCTAGTCACTCCGACCCGACAGCATTCTTCTTCCGAGCAGGTACTTTTTAGCATTTTCTGTGTGAATAAGGCACTTTATGAAACCACTGAAGGTTTCTGCAACTTAGTGAGCCTATCATTCCAGCAGACTCCAAAAAAGAACACACATTATGATTGTATTTTCCTGCGATTTAGTCTCTGGTGAATTACTCATCAGAAAATATCTGCATTGAAGACGAGTGTACTCTCGACCTCTTTTGTTTTGCGTGAGAAAAATCTCAGAGGCCACAGAACAATTACGCAGACCAATTGACTTAAATGGGAGGCGTCGGTGTCATATCTCGACCTTCACGTCGTCAACCACTGCATCCAGTTCTATCACTGGCTGATTTACAGACTGACATATAATCGGCTAGTGCTTGGAAGAGAGACGAAGGCGTGACATGGACACCGGAGAATCCGCCAATGGAAGCGAAGCGCCCAGTTCCAGGAATTAGTTGCCGCATTCAATTAATGCACGTAATTACTATCCGCCTCCGTATCCTGTTCTGGGATTCTGTCTGGGCAAAATTATTAGCTACGCGAGTAACCAGCAATCAGGATGACAGCGGGCCAAATTGTCGAGTGATCGTCACACCAAGAATCGACAACGGTGATGGACTCATGATGATTAACTACTCGGGTACCAACCGACAAGCAATTACGACCCTAATGCTGGACACGTGAACTGCTATTTATTGTAGGCATGTGGTCGCCTGAGTATTGCATACCTTAACTCTCTACTACCACTTTCTGCGAGTCTGTTGATGGGTTTAAGTGAGAATTCGAAGCGCCAGGCCAACAAACTTCTTGTTCCAGAAATCGCATCTTCTTGTAAACTAACATATAATCAGTTTTTCACACTGAAGTCTATCATGAAGTGTCAAGAGTCATGGCGTGGAAGGTTTCTAACTGGCGGATAACCCGGTCCTCCTCAGGACCGAGGCAGGTTATATTGGTTCCTTGATAGTATAGTCCTTGTGACATCCTCACTGATGTGCGATCCGAGACGATCTTACAGGGGCCTGCTACACTTATCGGCGGCGAGTGGTGTGGGGCAAGCGTAGGCCAGCTGTTTAATTTTGTCAGTCACTGAGTCCACGCCAACCCCAAGCCGTCTCGGCACTGTTTTTTAATTGAGGCAATGCGGATAAAAGAAGGAAGGAAGTGTGGCGGATGATGCGCAAGGCACTGGTGCTGCGCCCACTCGGTAAGGCGAGTTAGCTGGCTCCATGGAATCAGCTTCAGACTCTGGTAACTTCCACCAGTTCTATTACCTATTACGTAAAGTAGCTGGCAAACAAAAACCGTCTTGCACCACCGTTCGGGATAACTTGGGTCAAAGGATAACTGATATGGCTGGCAAAATCGATCGATGGCGAGAGCATTTTGGTGACCTACTGGATCCGCCTATACGTTCACCTGCAAACCTACAGCTGTCAACTGGAACTCCATACGATATTGACTGCGAGCCACCTACGAGTGCTGAACTGGAAACGGCACTGCAAAGACTGAAAGGTCGGAAGGCTTCGGGTGAGGTTGGTCTCCCAGTGGAAGTCCACAAGACTGGATGTTCTCCTTTAACAGACTCACTGCATCGACTGTACTTGACTATATGGACGACAGAAGCCATCCCCGCTGACGTGTCACTGTCCATTGTCTTGCCGATACCGAAGCGCGGTGACTTGTCCACTTGCTTAAATTACCGCGGCATCAGTCTCAGATAGAGCCACCAAATTTTTTGCGACCATCCTCCGTATATTTTCGAT